GCATGTAGGTAAATTATCTCCAGTCGGAGACACAGCTTACCTCCGTTGAATACATTCTGTAATCGACGGTAACAAATTGTATCCCGGTAAGTGACAATAATATTTACCTCCGCTCGGGAGACAAAACACACTTGTCAACGGAAGGAGGTAAAATATTACCCTACGGTAGAGTTGCATAGTACCTACACGAGGAGACGATTTTGGTGGCAATTTTGCTGAGAGTGTATAGCTAGTGATGCATACAAAATCATCAAATTTCACTCAGAACCAAGCTGCAAATAAATTGAGCACCAAGCTCTTCATCTTTTATTTTCTCGTGAACTTTTCAAATATGGAAAGTTCTCGAATTCACCTCTCCCTGCACCTGCGTCGGGTGAGTCGTGTGTGCTTGTGAGAGTGGCTTTATCAGGTCTCGCTGGAGGTTCACCCTCATTTAGTTTTCCAGGTGTGGAGGCCAGGTGCGCTAGCCAGGTGCTTTCTCCTCCTGGAATAACTTGCCACCGAACCGGTTGACGGAAGTTTCCAGACTTCTGGTTTTTATATGCGTTGACTTTTGTGAAATGAAATAAGAAGTGACTTCTGCAGGTGCAGAAGCCTCAGCAGCAAGTGCACTTAACAGCAGCAGCAGAAATAACTGCAGCAGCAAGTGCACTTAACAGCAGCAGCAGAAATAACTGCAGCAGCAAGTGCACTTAACAGCAGCAGTACAGCCAATTGTCCACGTTTGGGGGTCTTGGCCCATCGCAAATAACTACGGCTCCGGCTCAGTGCAGACCTCAGTCCAGTTGGACTTCTGACCTCCTCGTCTTCTCTCTTCCTGCAAAATCATCAGAATACTCTGATATTCGAGCCTGGGTCTCAATTCACACTGGTACGCAAGATAAGATTTAAATCGCGTGAACGAAAGCAAACAAAACTCAAGTGCACAAGAGTGAACGAGAGTGAACAAAAACTTTTCATCGCCTAAGTGCACCTATTTTGACTTAGTGAGACGAATTCAAATTACTGGCAACTTTGATACAACTTTGTTCTTGTCCATTTTGGACGCCGTTCAAGCAAGATCTCTGAAATAAAACTTCAATTTATCCCAGCTAACGGCTAAATATAGTGTGGCGGTGAGTGAATAAGAATTCAAGTGCACTACATCAACAAAAACTTTTCATCGCCAAGTCCCATGTCCTTGGAATTTTTTACTTAGGGAGACCGGTTAAATTGACGGTCAAGCTTGATAAAAATCTGGTCTTTTCCATGCTGGACGCCGTTCAGGTAACATCTCGGAAATAAAACTTCTCAACCTAACCCAGTTAATTGTTCTAATAATATGCAATGTGGCAGTGAGTGAAGAACAAGTCAAGTGCACCACATTAACAAAACTCGGAAATTTTTGACATTGCAAACAGTGCAAGACTCTTACTGAATCATACTAACACGACTCCGAAAGAAATCTTCATCTTAGAAAGAAGTCTTATAGAAGTATATTCACCAAGAAGTATATTCACCAGGTAGGCATCTGTAATATACCATAAACAGCTCCCCGAGAAGTGGTTGAAATTTGTGCTGTATTTTATGCAAACGACTCTGGGAGTGAAAGGCCAAGCCCTTGGCTCTAGTAATTGCTATTTCTGAACACTTTCTATCCGTGTTTTAATTTTTGTATCGGGGATTGTCTAAGCAAAATGGCTGCTTTTCGAGAGTTAGGAGAAGGGTACAAAAATCTGTAACCCACCTTCACTTATCCACCATATAAAAGATAATCAATTGTAAAGGAAAGCGACGACGATCAGTGGCATGAAACCGGTACGGCTTTTAAGTTTACCGCAAAGGGTGCTATCGTACCCATTGCGGTTTGATAGATTTGGTCACGTCTTCGAAGTGATATTATCTCACACTTTTTGCCTCTATTTTTTAATCTTTCCATGTGGTAGTGAGATCACAGAAGTGGTAGTGAGATCACAGAACGTGAAACGGAGTTTATAAAAATTACCCACTTCCTCAATTTTTAGGTTGTACCATAATTTTGTGTCTTAGTTTCTTAAGATGCCTGCATTTTTGCACTCTTTTAATATATTTCTCCCAAACTAATGTAACTATCGTTGCGATATTTGCCCTATTTTGTTTAATATATTCGATGCTAAACAAGCAGAAAGATCCCGCTAGACATGTAAGAAGCAGAATGAAAATCGTTTGAATACTGTCGTCAAGCCCCACCTCCCGAAATGAGGTTCCATAGCGAAATCCTCCCTTTTTTCTGACTTTGTCCTCCCTTCCTCGAAACACTGTCGCGTTCAAGCTTACTTGACGAGTCACCTGGTGGTAAATCCCTGAGCTCAAAAACAGTTTAAAATATTGGAGCATGCGCGATTCCCGCCAAACCAAAAGCACAAATGCAACCGGTTTTTGAAAAATTGTTTTCTCCCCGCTGTACCACTTTTTGGTGGGATAATTTCTCTTCAAATATTCATAGTACGGCTTAACCTCATCCGTTGGTCCGCCATAAGCCGACCTGTCACACTGCAATATTTCCTCTTCAATCACCCGATTTATTTCTTGGGGGGGTTACGTTATTCTCTAAAAATTTCAGTTTCTCCGAATACCAACGAATCCTTGGATTCATCATGGAATACAGTAATCGTAGTAAATGCGGTGGATATTTTAAATGAACTTGGTAAACGCAAACATCGTCATACTGGTGTTCTTTAAATTTGTAACCACTAAGGTAATTCGTTCCTCTCCAGCTTGGCACGTATTCAGACAAAATTGTGTAGCAGAATCCTCCCAAACTATTCACAATCTGGGGAAGTGAGAAACTTGAGTTCTCGTCATGGGTCATATGAGACATTTGTTTACATCGGTCCTCGATCATATCGGGATTTATCTTTGTTTGCGATTTCTCTTGGCAAAAGACTTGTTCATACGTGTCGCCCCGTTCCCCTGGAAAGGGAGAATTTAAATTGATTATGAAACTACTCAGATAGCAAGTACTGAGCACCATGGAAACCAAGAGCCATGCACTACTCAAACTTCGAAAGGGAAGGAAATTCCTTAATTTTTTCGGCAAATTGTCCACCTCGTCGATCAGCAGGCCGAAAAAGTATAGGAATAGTCTGAGAGGATAGAATTCTTTGTTCAGCAGGTAAAATCCCAACGAAAGGAGGCAAGTTGATAAAAACAGCATGATACCTGTAACGACCCACACGATTTGGTCATAAGGAGAAACGTAGAGGGAAAATGATAACCCATTCGAAAATAGGGAGCACGAGAAAAATGAGAACCCGACAAAACTTGTGATGATAATTTGTTCGTTATACATGAAGCTCCCTAATAACTCTTCACTTTGGTAGAGATACGTCGGGTAGAAGCAGGCCTCCGTGAGCACCAGGTAGCACGAGTGAGCATGAGTGAGGGATTTTCGTGTTGCATTAAGTTCATTTAATGCCGTATCAAGTAAGATTTCTGAAACTGAGATTTCCGAGAGAGAATGTTTTTCAGAATAGTCGAACCAATGCTGTTCCGATCTTGACGGGTAGTTGAAAGTGGTCATTAAAATTGTATCCTTCCATAAAGTTGTAGTACTGTAGACAAAATTTTGTAGAATTGGAAAAAAGTTTTTTTGGTGGCAGGACTTAACCGTATTTTCAGCTAGAAAAGTAACACTGCAAATTTCACGGGTAGTAGCGGCTCCGAACGGACAGGTTGTGTGTACAAGGGGTAGGTCTTATGGGATTCCAATATCTTGGAGCTACTTGGAATAAGAATAAAATAAAAAGATTCTGGGTAAACGCTCCAATCAGTTTGCTCCCTTAGTTTTGTATAGTACTTGCTTTGACTAGTAATCCAATACCCTAACGACTTTTGGTGGGATTTTGTATAATCTAGCGAATTTAGGGTGACAAATAAAACGACGATTTCGCAAATCCAACCCTTATTTTGGAAGATGTCGAGTTGTAACGGGGTATGGTTTAGTGAACTGAGAGGGATAAGATCCGCTGGGAAACTTCGTTTGGTCAGTGTTACTGGGACGTTGCGGGTAGTGGATAGCTCTGACATAGAAATATTGTTGTAGACGAAGTGATATCGACAAGGGGCGTGAGGTGATAGAACAGACGCCAAATTTATTCTTGGTAATGGTGCTGTGGGTGTGATGATGTCTGATTTTACAGGGTTGGAGAGTAGGAGAAGGATAGTCGCAAAGAGGCGATATTTTGATTTGATCATTTTTCTATTGTTCCAAATGGTTTTAGATAACTTAGAAATTGTACATTATCAACCGCTACTGAAATTGAAATACCAGACGAAATTTAAAAATGGGAGTCTGTCTGGTGTAGTGAGAAATGTAGAAATACATACTTATAGCTTTCATTGCGATACATAACGATAATTGCAGATATGTATAAATAAATAATGGGTCGGATAAGTTTTGTTGATTGCCTATCATGTTTTTTTCTAATTACACATATCCCGGCAAACAGGCAAAGCATCAAATTAATTGCAGTGTCCTCAGCGTCAATTAAATACGGCCGACCATGTTATTTTCATAAAAATATGTAGATTAGAAACAAAACTATGGAATATATTAGAGATGAATACACGCGTCACTCCGAGGTGATTATCTTGAAATGCTACATACATAAGTTCTGATACATCCATTTTCACTAAATCCAGACTAATTTCCTATTTTAGTTGAGAATTTATGGGATTGTGGTTTGATTATAAATGAATTTGTTTCGATTGGGTCGTTCGTATTTTGATGTTTAATATTGTACTGAAATTAACTGTTGATTATACTTTTTATATGTAGAGGCGAGTTTGAGAAATATAATTTTTTGGCTCAAAATCTTCTAACTTGGGTTAAATATCGCTGGAAATAATTTCCACAAATTGTTTGCGTTAGGATTGGCCCCTGTGTCGAATTTGTGGGCCACATTGGCAAATTGTTGAGGTTTGTAAAATAATTGCATTTTCCGTCCCTGTTAGTTAATAAATAAATATGGAGGCATACGTACAATGAAAGTTAATTTATTTCCCAAATTATGTAAATATGTGTTTACAATTGATCCAATTCAATTGTGTACATGTATGATGTAATGCATCTCTTAAACCTGACAACCATCATCGGGCACATACTCCACAAAATCGGCGGGATAGCTGACATCAAACTCTAGACTATTATCGCCACCCCGTTTCATGCATGAGCCCCTCTGAATTCCGTATCTCCGCTTCTGAGTAAATTCGGTTAGAAACTCTTGTGTCCAGTTAAACTTGTAGCTGATGGATGATTGGAAATCTCCCTCAAGAGAGGGTGGTGCTTCAATAATATACTTGGCCAACATTGGCGTCACCTCGCTGAAAAAACATTTAATTTCTAAGAAACTGAACAAATAGATACGTAAGATAGATACATAACGCGAACAATGCCAACTTAACAGTTTCTGTGATTTTCACGCCCAGTAATTTTCATGATGAATTATGATTTCTGTGATTTAGGATATTACTAGAGAAAAATGAAACAACTTTTTATAAATTAATTCTAGGATAAACCTAATTTGATTGATTGATTATGCTTTATTCAAGTGTCTACCAAGTTCACAGTAACAAACCATGCTCTTCCACCAGTGACTGTAATTTGATGTTTGGATTTCTGTATAATGAAAAAAATGAGCATATTTCTGAAGGATCTAAATCCATTAGGACAAAGGTGAATTTTGCACTTAATTTGTAAATGCTAAAAACGAAGGTTGGTCAGAACACATATTCAAATTTAGTTGGAAATGTTCAGAATTTTAGACTAAACACAAGCATGAACTTTGCTTCAATCCAAAACCTGGTTATATTAAAATAATGTGTTCCATAATCACAGAAACTCTAAAAACCACATAATTTTTAGCACATGTCATATCTCCATGTGATTTTAAGCAGTGTCATAAACAAGGGTTTGGGACACTCGGTGCGCTACATATGAACGAATGCAATGTTTCAAAAGAGGCAAAAGCTGTGCGTAACATTTTCGTGTTTTAAAAGTTCGCAAATTACTTTTGCAAAACTTATTATTTAAAGCACAAAAATCTATTAGAATATTGAAGCACTGCAGCTAAAGACTAAACTTACGTGCGATATTGTGTCACACCAAATTCTCTAATATGTGCATCAGTCTCATAACTGGATGCGCACAGGTCGTAGGTATCCATTCTTGGGTAGTACCAAACAATCGCTTCACACATTTCTTCCCGCGTTCCCAACCCTCCTAACACGATCTCACCGTTTTTCCAGGTTGAATCGTAGTCACATTCTGGAAAAAAACATTCGGTTTCATCAATTCAATTCAAATACATTACTCTTTAAATTTTACACGAAAAAGTTCAAGTCAAAAAAGACTAACTTTTGAACACGAAATTAACTAGAATAATTTGTCTTTGCATTTTCTTCTTAACTTTTTTTTCAAATAGAAAATATATGTCTCGTTTTGGCAACTCCCTAATACGCATGATAATGCCTTACCCACTGTGATATGATCTCCCGGTTGAATGTTCACATGACTCAGCAGAGCTTTATTCTGTTGATAATCAAAGTCGTAGTGACCATCGAAATCGATCCAGGGAAGTTCCTCGGTTCCCCGGAAATGGCGCGCCTTTATTTTCCGACCTGTTCAAAATTAAATTCATTTAAAAGATTTTAATTACTGTAATATTTAGGACTGCCAATGAGTTGAGTTGAGCTGAGTTGAGGGTTAACTCAACTCAATAAGAAAAATCACCGACTCAAACTCAACTCGACTTAAATTAGTCTCAACTCAAACTCGACTCAACTCAAATGTTAACCCGTTAAGGACCAACTACACATATTTGTGTAGTTTTTTGCTTTCCCTTGGGGACCAAGTACACAAATATGTGTACTTTTTTGGTTTCCCTTAAGGACCAAGTACACACATTTGTGTACTATTTTGTAGTTACGTTGGGGACCAACTACACACATTTGTGTAGTTTTTTTCTTTCCGTAAAGGACCAAGTACACATATTTGTGTACTAATTCCCCGTTACGTTGGGGACCAACTACACACATTTGTGTACTGCGGAAAAATTTTCAAGAAGACCAAATACACACATGCATACAAGTCAAAATTTTATTTTACAAAATTTTAATACGGATCATTTATTTATGCACATTACCAAAAATTATATATCTGCAAAAACTACAACTGTAGTTCGCTGCAATGCATTGTAGGACTAATTTTAAATTGTTCACGCTCAGAAATAAGCGTATTTTGGCGTTTTCCAGAATAGGTATGTTTTCGCCCGTGACGGAATTTAAAAAAAAATGAATTTTTAAAGACGCAAAAACGATAATTTTTTGGAAATTAAAAGTTTTTAGCCCGAGTCAGGGCTTATGGAACCGTCATGTCCGTCCGTCCGTCTGTCTGTCCGGCACGATAGAGCCAAAACGGCTGAACCGATTGACTTGAAATTTTTACCATATGCATATTGGACAAAGTTAGGAAACGAGTTCGAAGATGGGCGAAATCGGTCAAGTGGTTGACCAGTGGGGATCATCGGAGTGGGTGGGGGCTATAAGTGAGCAAATTTTGTCTAGAGTGTGACCCATACAATTTTTTAATTTTAATTTTTTCCATCTGAAATTTGGTACGAAGGCTAAAAACTACTTCTTGATAGCAAATATAGCTTTAGAAGTTCAAAATGGTAATATTATGTCGGTCACTTCGGAGAAAAATTTAGAAACAGCTAGGACTCACGGAGTCAGGGACTCTGTCCCTGACTTGGGCTATATGGAGTCTGCACTGTAGGTTATTATATTTTCAGGGTAGTAATTCTGAACAAAAATTGTGCTTAATTTTTGAAATCGGATTAAAATTCGAAAAGTTAGTTATTCGAAATTCGTTTTAAAAATCCTGATTTGGGCTGATTTTTTAAATTCCGCCACGGGTGAAAACATGTCCATTTTAGAAAACGAAAAAATACGGGTCCGCTTATTTCTGAGCATGAACAATTAAAAACTAAGTCCGGTCAAGATCAGTGAAAACCACTTGGACCTAGCTAAACTATCAAAATGTATGAATCAATAACTTAATATTATTGTAATGAACTGCAGATAATTTTTACTAATATGCATAAATAAATGCTTAGTGTTAAATAAAATCATCAAAAGTTGCCGAAATAAATTCGGTCCTGTATGGTTTGCACACCCACTGTGAAATCGGTGACGTAACTACGCTTACTTTAAAATCATTTTGGTGACGTAGCTACACTATTGGTAAAATTAAATTGGTTATGTAGCAACAACTAACTGATAAAATTCTGGTCTCCAAAGGAAAGCAAATTTCAATTATTTCGGTCACAAAGGGGTTAACGACTCAAACTCAACTCATATCGACTCAGCTTTTTTAGAGTAAAATATATGTATTTAAATAAATACGTTAAAAACGGGTTAAAAATCTCGTTAAACGTATGACTTTAAAATAAAATTTCCGTTGAGAACGATATTGGTAGTCACCAATTACAATTTTCATGATTTCCTACAGAAGGCTAAAATCTACAAACAGAAAATTGTTGTGTTCATTTCGATAAGCTAATCAACAAATCGGTATATGATGACGACCTGTATGGAGAGGACAGCTTACTATGTGTATTTAACAGTGTAGTTTTTCATTCAAAATTTTTTGACAATTGCACTTTTTTCCATTTTGAATATCAACCGGCCCAGGAAATCCAATCTTGAAATATTTGGAGAGAAAGTGATTCACGAGATTACAAGTGTGAAAAATCGAAAAATGTTAATAATTTTATCAAAAATCGCTGACTAGAGATTTAGCAGCTTGCTTTCGTCAAGGTGAAAATCTCGAAATGCACAAACTGGCAATAAAAATATCCTTAATGAGTTGACTCATGAGTCAACTCGAACTCATTTTCCGTAACTGAACTCAAACTCGTTATTTTCCAACTCACTCATTTCAAAGTGAGTCGAGTTATACTCTCGACTCAAACTCAACTCAACTCACTAACTCAATGAGTCAAATGAGTTGACTCGAACTCATTGGCAGTCCTATGTAATATCCTACCAAATCACAGTATATATTTCTTAGTCACCTGACAAATGCGAATGCAACAACGAGTTGAAGATATTAATCCCGCCTTCCGGCCAATGTTGCGTGCATTCGGCACCACAGTGACCGACAACTTTATAATCTGAAATATTTGGCGGGACCAAAAGTGAGACGTCGACTTCATGTCCAAGCGTAATCACGGCGGCTTCGTGTTGGCTGATAAAAAAAAATATATGGATCATACAAACATAATTATTTGAAATTACGATTCTTAACTCACACACGTAAAAATCCGGTATAAAAATAATACCACGCGGTATTCATGTATGTACATATGACACTACCAACGAAGTTTCGATAAGTAACACCTTGCAGTCATAGATTGGTATTGAGGTTTTACCCACACACTGGATCCTAAATATCTAACTCTACCATATCGGTAGCAAAATTTTTATTTCCAGCATAGTTTTAATATCAACCGGGAGCAACTTTATTAGCAAAAAATCAATACCCGCCTAACTATATCAAATCTCAGAACAGTGTAATTTTTCTTACCGGAGTTCATTCGTGTAATAAAATTCCATTCCGGTCTCGAATCTTAATCCGCTTATCTCGGTAGGATTATCGTAATGAATTTCCATCATGTAGTACTGTGTTCCAGCCTGTTCACCAATTGGATATCCGACATTTTCCGGGAAGACTAAAGTCTGCCAAGAAATTAGCAAGCGTTATTTAAATCGATTTAAAATTATTTCCCGCCTGTCTTACCTTCCCCCCTTTCGCCCATACATAGAAGCTCCCCGTCATACAGTACCAAATCGGTAGAGTTGTATCATAGTCGTAACAATCTCCTCCAGCAAATCCCGTGTCGATCGTGTAATTTCCAAATACTTCGTCCGGCGTTAAACCCGAATCCGCGGGAACAAAACAGTTATACAGATTGGCGTGATGGGTGTGCTGCAAGGCTTCGACGGATGGTAGAACGGCGCTAAACTGGAAATTATTTAAGATTGTAAATAATTAGGGGTATTCCAAATTCGGAATTAACCAGAACCAGCACAATCTATATTATCTATATTATAAGCTGGAAATGTTTGTCGGCAACGGAAGTGAAAGCAAATGTTCCGCAACGGAAGTGAAAGTAAAAAAGTCAACTTAAGAATTCAAAATAAATTAAATTAAAAATCTTAAATACAAGATAACTACTCCCAGATAACCACCATCAGACAATAAATGTTTTTAATTTATTTCTGAATTGTTGCGCCATTTGAAACTTAACTTTCTTTACTTTCACTTCCGTTGCGGAAAGATTTGCTTTCAATTCAGTTGCCGGCAGACGTTTTTAGCTTATAATTTTCTCTCGCCCGGCGGAAGACGGGCTTATACGCTAGTTACTTATAAGACGATCAAATTAACTATTTCAAAGCCAGCGTAAAAATTTGAAGGGCAACCGCAGAAAAACAGCAGAAAAACCGTAGGCAAAAACTATGTATGCATATGGAATAGGTACAGACCGAAAACCCGTGGAATTTTTTGCAGGATTACATAATATGGTATATACGAAATTAATTATGTAGTGCAGAGTTTACCGAACTTTTGCAAATTATTTATATAGTGCAGAATTAGATAGTGCGATTCCTACTCGAGGGCGGGGATAACCGTGGAAGACCACAAATTCGCAAAATCTTACACTCTTGTCCAAATTTAAGATAATCTCACAATACCCTTATTTTACTTTGTTATGAAAATTTCCCCAGAAATCATTGCTTTTTAAAACCGCATGCATTTTACATGGAAATGTAAATACATTTATACGAATTTATTTTAAATATACAAATATGACTTACTCCGACAACATGCTGTTTCTCGGTGAGCTCGGGTCCCTTATGGAAGGTGCATCGGTATGACGTGTGAACCGAAGGCATCTCCACATCAGCCATTAATATGTATCTTGTTAGCCTGCACGTGTCAAAATCGATAATCAACTAATTTATAAACACAATTTGTATGAATGACAAGGCTAACTGATAACGCACTTATCTAAATCCAACTCTGGTAGTTCGGCATGAATCAAATTGGTTGATTTTGTTCCACGACGATCGATCCCATGATACTGAATAACATCTGCGGCTCCCATCGCCCAAATGAGTCGGCTCGTATCATTCTAGCGATTCATTATTATGCAAATTTAAACTTACAAAATTATTTCGACCAAATTTTGATAATTATTTGTCCACTTATTTATGTAAATCAGATCACCCACCCCGATCGGATAATCCTCATCATCGCAGGTGTTAAGTAGCCTGGAAAATTTCAAGATAGTTTTTCCCATCGAGGGCAATTCCATAGCTTCGAGCAGTCTCCAGTCTTCATGAACATCGAGTCTTGGTTCCATTCTGCCAATTCCGAATCGGTCCTGACTAAAAGGGTATAAATTTTCACATAAGCAAAATAATTTGGTAGAAACAAATCCGTAACAAAATTCTAATTTGGCATTCAATTATTTATTTATACTTAATTATATTTAGAAATTGAATTTATAAGGTCAACTAGTAACTTCACCTCAAATAAGAACGGAGATATTCTAGTGTATAAAAATGCAATTTTGCCTAAATTAATTACCTATATGGGCTTCCATCTGATAAAACGCCCCCGATAAAAATGTCCGCTCCGGTCATACCACCCTGCGGCGAAATTCCAAACCCTACCCAACCCAAAGTTTCTGCCTCGATTTCGAAAATTATTTCATCTCCAGAAATTTCCCATCCTAAAATATATTTCCCTTCGCCGTCCAGCACTTCAATATTTTTCAGCAAAATTGAATGCTGATGTGGGATCGTGTTAGCCTGCGTCAAAATTGTGGTGCTTGCCAGCCACAAGAAAATCGCGAAAATCGAGGACTCCATTTTTTGGCTTAATTTTACCCGTGTAAAATTGCAAATGATTCAACAGTGTGTCGCGTCGTTCACTTTTATACATTGTTGAATCAATTAATTAATTTTAAGTCACTGACATGGTTCGATAAGGCAAATATAATCTCGTTTGCGCAATACACATTAGTGTCACCATTGGGGCATGCAAACATATGTAACATAAATACATACACCACTCATTTCTGATGACTAATGGGAAAATTTGGTTAAATTTTGCATGGTACAAATGGTTCTTGCACACTTTCAAAAATAATGGTAGCCTTTTCAAATGTAAATGTATTCTGAATTTTATATCAGGTAAACCACACTAAATCCAGAGTATGTAATATTAACTTGATAAAGAATAAAGTTTACTCTGGGTTTAGTATAGATTACTATATTTAAAATTCGAAATACATCTACTTTTCAAAAGGTGACATTGTGCATTTCTTTATTACATATTTACGCTGGAATGATGCCGCACTTCATGAATGCTCGACAATTGTCATTTACAGATACATACCACGGGTTTCAGGTACTTTTAATTCACCTGTCAACGCCTTGTTGATATGTTGTTTTTAAATACGCGTGCTTGAGATTGTGTAATTACAGATCGATGATTGTAATAATCAGGGTATTCCGACCTGGGTTTTAATGGGTTGGGTTTTATTGGGTTTTAATGGGTTTTAATGGGTTGTAAATGAATAAAACCCACTGGGTTTTACCATGTTAAGTGGGTTTTATTTGGGTTTTAATGGGTTTTATTGGGTTTTAATCGAGTTTTACCTTAAAACTATATTCTAAAAGTTAAATACATCTCCTATACATTAAAAGACGTTATCTCAATTCATTCTAAAGCAGTTTATTTCATTACTATCATAATATATGAAAATTCGGAACAAAGCAACAATTGACTCCATTCTTTAGCATCACAGATTTCAAGTGTTGTAAAACAAAAATAATTTCCGAATAGATACAAATTCCGAATAATTTTTGTTAAATTATTACTTAAAACTATTAAAACCCAATAAAACCCATTTAAACCCAATAAAACCCAATAAAACCCATTAAAACCCAAATAAAACCCAATTAACATGGTAAAACCCATTAAAACCCATGGGTTTTATAATTTTTGATTAAAACCCTGGGTTTTTTCGAACCCTGGTAATAATCGATTTTTGTCAACAAATTATTGTCCAGAAGGAAGCAAATGAAACATTGTGTATATGTATCAAGGTTCTCTGTGGTCGACGTTTGACACTGAAAATAATGCAAGTTATTAAATACTACAGCTTAAAATACATAAAACTAAAAAAAACAGTTATTAGCTAACTTGTAAAGTTGCCTCCTGTTTCTTTCTCGATTGAAGCATTTTTCTGCTGAAGAGTTGGCCTTTATACTTTCCACATCTCCGTTCATGGATATGTGTAGTAAACCATAAGCGGCGATGGCCACCCAAGCTACTACTGACTCAGAATTACTTCACCAAAAATTTGATTCCCGCTTCGTATCCCTACCATACTAATAGCATGGGAAGGATACCAGCGCGGGAGGGAAAAGAAAAACTGAGTTGATATTAATCCTCGTTATCGCACTACGATACATATTTCATTTAACCAGACTGGTTAAATCGAAATATTATTTCAATTTGAAATAATAGAAATTTCGATCCCATTTCCCTCGGTTGCATATTGATTTATTGGAATTGGAACATATCTATGTAAGTTATTAAGCTCAAAAATTACTAACAAAGTTCGTAGCTTGTTATTTCTCAGTCTACATATATTGGTCGCCGACACGAAGACAGGGTAGATTTAGAAATAAAATATATTTGGTTGTATTGTATGCATATTTAGAAAACAATGGAGACAGTATACATTAAAACTGTAAAATTAATCGAAAAACTGACTTTCTACGCAATGCCACCAGTCTATGGTCCAAACAGAAAGAAAGTGTTAACGAATCCCTGGTTATCTCGTTACCTGGGAAAGTACTGGAAATTTAAACTGACTAGTTTAATGAACGTTGTTAACGTTTTAACGATTTTTGTTAATCAAAAACTTGTCTACAATTCTATAATAAAGATGGAAATTGGGGTCATAATGTTTCAATTTATGTACGGAATGTATAGTCTGATGGTGTGCACGGGTGATATATTAATTCTTTCCGATTGGGAAGGGATGGCATGGACTTTGCAAGAAATTCGAGTTTTAAATAAAGTTCGACCCGGATTATGTTATAATTCCAAGAGTGAAATTCGAAATACTGTCGTGGATAAAAGGAAGGATAAAAATATGAAAACCAGTAATGACAGAGTTACTAATATCTGGATACGCATTTTACGCATGCAACTGTTAACTTGCAACTTTGCTGCCTTACTAATATCAATTTTTCCCTTCATCGGAGAACTTGACCCGGCCTTCTATCTCTTGGAAATTGTTGGATACTCTGAAGAAGGAAAAGGCGTACTAGGAAAACTATTCAGAAGTGCATTCATATGCGTTGTATCCTTCCACATAATTATAACATGTGCCAGCGGTATATTCTGGTACATATTTATTGGGGCTTTTGGATTGGAGATAGGTCACAAAATTCGTGGTAATGTATCACTGATTTCAAGAACTAACTATAAAAAAGTACATTTTCTGATAACCTGTAGATATCCTGTTAACTGGAATTGGAGGCAAAAAACTAACCAAATTTCGCCTGCAGTACATGCAACTGTACATTTTACTGCAAACCGTAAACCAACTGGTCCGGGGAAAGGTGTGGATTTGCAGGGCATGTACAATGGGTATATTTGTTTCTGCCATGACAGTAACAATACTTTTGTATGGTCAGATAGACCTGCTGATATATTTACTTTTCCCCTCATTGGTTGTGGTAATTTTCGTGTCATCAGGGCTTGTTTTTTCCTCTGCCGGAAAAATGTGGACCGCCACGTGCAGGGCTTTGCAAACTTACTACGACAAATCCAAGATTTGTGAGGCAAGAAAGAAGCTTGAGTATAAGTTTGGAAAAGCAATGTTCCCAGTGGGGCTGCAAGTTAGGGATGAAACTATAACTGAAACTTATTTGATAAACTTTTATAATGATTGGATTGACAAAACTATTTCCATCCTTGTATGGGCTGGTTCACGTTAAGAATACCAGGTGATAAGAAATAATTAAATACAATCCTCAAGTGGGGATGGGATCAGGCCCGTAGCGACGGTGGAGAAACGTGGAGAGACACTCTCCAGGCCGTACGCCCCGAGGGGCTGTACCGCCGGGTTCCACAATAGAATGTACAGGATAAAATCGGGGTTTCAAAGTTTTTCGGGGGAAAATTAGGCCGTACCACGGCCAAACTCTCCAGGCCGGACGAAACGTCGCTACGGGCCTGGATGGGATCGTATGTATTTACATATAGGTATGTATTGTTAATGTTTTGGATGCATATGAAGATGTGAAAGATATTATACGCAAATTAAATATTTATCTAGAGTTGAATACGAATTAAAATATATTAGCTGGTTAAGTGCAACCATAATTTATTTGAATATAAATAATTTTCTTGGAACATTCTAATGTTTTGCATTACGCATTTCGCAAAACCATTTAAGTAAAACGCAACATCTCGTAGCAATCTTAAAATCTTAATTTAAGACAAGGTTTCTTGTCCATTTGGTTAACAGGACCACGATTTAACGTTCCTACGTTTCCGCCCCTGTTGTATTTAACGAACATGCTATTGATTAAGTTTCTCAAGCATGTATTTTATGTTTACATTACCAGTTCGAGAATATTTTTTAAATACGAGTTTGAGTATACATGGAGCAATCTGACCAATATTTTACGTATTTCACAGACTAATAGGTATTATGGCAATAAACTGTCATCAATATCTGAATAGCTAGGATTAAAATTGATTTCAAATTAAGCTCGAGTCACAATCTAATCTCGTTCGACTTCAACAATTGCTTCTTCCAATTTAACATTAGTCCAGTGGACTTCAGAGGAAATGATATTCATGTATATATAAATATTAAATGTACCATTACGTATGACCAAGTTTAATTTAACCACCTACCCTTTGCACCGTCAATACCTGGTTCGACGAATATTCACTCAGCTTCTTGCGTCATTTTCACCGCATGCTACATATGTACCCCATGATACAGAATTCTGAACTAACATAATAATTTTTTTGGTTCGTCCGTGTCTCCATAAAACAGATGACCTTAGCAAGAACCGCGTACCATATGCAGTTAGCCAATTTAATTTTTACTTATTACATATTTTTTATGTATGTAGGTGTTTTATTTCTAAGTACATATTTTCCCATGGAAGAAAAAAATAAAAATTCTAACCTCTTAGAAATGAATGAGTGATAACTTGACCTAGAAATGGATACCTGGATATTGGAGGGCGCGAATTAGGGCCGGATATGGATATATGTACATAGATCCGGATAGATTAAAGGTTTTCATCCGATATCTGCCAAGCTCTGTTATGACAAATAGGGGAGATCCATAAATTATGTCACGCAAAAAAGCCCTTTTTTTAGGACCCCCCCCCTCCCCTGTTGTCACGCCCTTGTCACGCTCGTCGTGACCCCTCCCCCCCTCTTGTCACGTCACGCCTGAAAATCTGAATTTTTCCGATACCTAGCAAGAATAACATGCATATTCGTATGAAAGGGGGCGCGTAGTAAATATTGCGTAATATCAGGACTCACGAAGGAATCTTTTGTGTTGTGTCACCTGGGTTTTTTCACAAAATAACTTTATTTTGCCGAATTTCATGAAGATATAGTGCAAATAGATTTCAAAAGTTTTAAATAAGTTGAAAAAATCCACCACATTTTTCATATATTGCTATACATTTTTTAAATTGTTAACATGTTTTAACCATGCAGCTGTCTTCAATTAGTACACATTTTTGAAACTATGACTATATGGTTCTTTCGGACGAATTTTTTAAATAGTGCAAATTTTTGGAGAGTTATTAATGTTTTTTTTTAAATTGTTGAATGAATATCTGCAAAATTATGAT